AATAATAATAATAATAATAATAATAATAATAATAATAATAATAATAATAATAATAATAATGATATATAAAAGTAAAAAAACATTGTCTATTTGCTGAATGAGCTAAATGTTTATATATATAAATAATGCATGTAAAAGTAGACTAAAATTAGAATAAAACAATTATTATAGATATAATTGGTTTACATTAGCAAATGTTTAGTAGAAAAATGTTCTATATTTATTTTAAATTGTATTCTTGTTTGACCTTACTATTGCTCAAAACACATGTCTAATTATGAATCTAAAAACGTAATTTAAAGGTCAATGTCTGAATTTTATTTGTATTTTTAATGAAACCAAATGACTATTTGCTATATATTTGAGAATGTATAATTTTTTGAGTTTTTACATTATGAAGGTCATTTAGCATTTCGGACATTAATTATATAAAAATGTCAACAACAAAAAAAATAAAAATAAAGTAACAGTCTCTGAATATTTTCTTTGAGATGTTGCAAAACTCATTGTAACCAGAAGGGGGCAGTGTTCTCTCAGTATGGGGATTAAACGCTCAAGCTGGAGGAGCCAATCACAGAGCAGAGTCACTGTCACGTGACACCTCTCTTAAACGCAGCCTTTCATGTTTAAATGCTGAAGGGAACTTAATCTGGAAATACTCAACCCTTTAGGTTAAAACCAGGTGAATTTTCTTTACAGTAAGCTAAAGACAGGATTTATGTATAAAAAGTTACTTGTTTAATAGAAAAAAATAGAATTTGTTCGTTTGGGTTGTTTTTTACTCTAAAATCTGCTGTGCAGAGAGAGTAGAATCACACTAAAAATAAGATCTGTGTTGTAAAATGTGATTAAACTGTCAGAAAAATTATTTTGTTAAAATAAAAGTATATACAGATGAATTCAAGTTGTTATTAATGATTGTCTTTATTTGTTTTATCTTCACTTAAAACACCAAATAAAACCAAATAATTATTTCAGAACCAGCTCTTCAAGATAGCAGTTCAACAAAATTCAAAAGGGTTCCATATTTTTTAAACAGATGTGAAAATGTAACTCCTCTTCTTCTTTCTTCTGTTCCCTCTTCAGGGGTCACCACATCGAGTCATCCTCCTCCATCTCACTCTGTCCTCTGCATCCTCTGCATCCTCTGTCCTCACTCCAACTACCTCCATGTCCTCTCTAACTGCATCCATATATCTCCTCTTTGTCTTTTTCCTGGCAGCTGCATTTCTAACATCCTTCTACCAATATACCCACTGTCCCTCCTCTGGACATGTCCAAACCATCTCAGTCTTGTCTCTAACTTTATCTTCCAGTTGTTCAACCTGTGCTGTACCTCTGATGATCTCATTCCTTATCTTATCCATCCTTGTCACTCCTAGGGAGAACCTCAACATCTTCATTTCCGCCACTTCCAGTTCTTTCTCCTGTATTTTTGTCCATGTCTCTGTCTCCAGCCCATACAACATAGCTTGTCTCACCACTGTCCTGCTGTCCTCATACATGTCCTGTACCAGTCTGACATACTTCTCTGCCACTCCAGATTTCCTCAAGCACTACCACACCTCCTCCATCTTTCCCACTTTCTGGTCCACAGCTTGTATCTACACTTCTTTCCCTCTTCTTTCATCAGCTCCTCAAAGTTCTCCTTCCATCTTTCCATCACACTCTCCTCACTTGTAAGAACATTACAATTTCTATATTTAACAAGCCTAACCTGCTGCACATCCTTTCCAGCCTGATCCCTCTGTCTTGCCAATCGGTACAAGTCATTCTTGCCCTCGTTAGTGTCCAGCCTCCCATACAACTCATCATACACCTTCTGCTTAGTCTTGGCTACATCCCTCTTTTTGCATCTTCTTATATTCCTGTCTCCTCCAGTCCTTTCCCCATCATCTTTCTTCTTGGCTAACCTCTTTCTTTGAATAGTTTCCTACGCTTCACTATTCCACCACCAGGTTTCCTTATCATCCATTCTCTGTCCAGATGACACACCAAGTACCTTCCTACCTGTCTCTCTAATTACTGTTGCTGTAGTAGCCCAGTCATTTGGAAACCACTCCAGATTTCCTCATGCAATACCCCACCTCCTTCATCTTTCCCACTTTCTTACCTTCCAGAGCCTTTAACAGCTCATCTCTGAACTCCTCACAACATTTTTCCTTGTTCATCTTCCACCATTTGGTCTTCTCTGATTTTTCTCTTTTTCTCTTCTTCACAACAACATTCATTCTACACACAACCATCTGATGCTTTCTGGCTACGCTCTCCCCTACCACAACCTTACAGTCTCCAATCTCCTTCAGGTTTTCTACTCTACACAGAATGTAGTCGATCTGCGTACTCCTTCCTCCACTGTCACTCTATGTTCCTCCCTCTTTTGTAAATATGGGTTGACTACAGCCATTTCCATTGTCTTGGCAAAATCCATATGTCCTTCCTGGTTTCTTTCATGGACACCAAAACTACCCATCACTTCCTCATCCTCTCTGTTTCCTTCACCAACATGTCCATTCAGGTCTGCTCCAGTCATCACTCTCTCCTCCCTGGGAATACTCTCTATCACTTCATCCAGATCCTTCCACAATTTTTTTCTCTCCATTACATCATATCTACCTGTGTTGCATAACAGCTGACAGCATTTAACATTAGACTTCTACTTCTACCTTCTGACATATCATCCCTATCTTACATACTTTTTACCTCTACTACATTTTTTGCTAACTCCTCCTTCTGGATCACCCCTACTCCATTTCTCCTTTTATTCACATCATTGCAAAACAGTTTGAACCCTGCTCCAATGCTTCGAGCCTTGCTGCCCTTCCACTTGATCTCTTGGACACATAAGACATCTACCTTCCTTCTCTGCATCATGTCAGCCAGCTCTCTAACTTTGCCTGTCATTGTCCTCACATTTAGAGTTGCAACCCTCAGTCCTACATTCTTGAATTTACTCTTCTCCCTCTGTCTCCTGACACGTTGCCCTCCTCATGGTCTTCGACTAACAGTAGCACAATTTCTGCCAGCACCCTGTTGTTCAATAGCACTGGTGACAGTTGTTGTTAACATGGGCCTTGACCGATCCAGCATGGTGTTGCTTAAATGAACTTGCATATTAGTTTTGGCAAAGTGTTTTACGTCAGATTCCCTTCCTGACAACCGTCACCATTTACCTGGGCTTGGAACAGGCACAAGAGATGCACTGGCTTGTGCTCCCTAGTTGCTGGTTTGAATGGTTTGACAATGTGAAAATTTGACACATGGCTGTAAAGGCTGTGGCAAACTGACCTCAAACCTCAAATTAGACCTAGTAATAGAAGGTAATATAATTGTCCTTCACCCTTTACAGAAAAACGTCAAACATGCATGTAAAATATAAATCTTTGATTCACAAAACATAAGCAAAATGGTCAAAAGTTCAATGTTTATGTCAACAAATTCAAACTCTTATCTAGAAGGAAAACTTAAGTCTTGTTGGAATAAAATTAAATTGTTTCAAAAATACAAAACAGGGTTAAAGATGAGTTTGTCACAAGTTGTGCAAAAATGCTAAACAGACAATGGTCTTTAACTGTTCACTGCACTTAGAAGTTGTTTAAAAAAAAAAAAAAACCCCTTAACCCCCCCCCCCCCCCCAAAAAAAAAAAAATACATCAACAAACAAACAAACAAACAAAAAAAAACCTTTCTGAGATTAGACAAGAGACCATAAGCCCACCTTCAGTCTGGATGTTTCCCTCTAACTCCTCTCTGTTTGCATCTCTGCAGGTTTTCTGTTGACGTCTCAGCTAGCCAGACAGAGCCGGTCATTGAGCGCAGGAGGGTCCACTGATTACCGCCGCAGCTACCAAGTGGAAGGACTACGAGGCGGCACTGGGGCCGGAGTCACGGCGAGGTCGACATGACGTCGGTGGCGGCGGAGTTCGAACACATGGAGATCCAGCAGCAGTACAACAACGAAGGCGTCAACAACCGCTGGGATGTTGACGAATGGGACAACGAGAACAGCTCGGCTCGGCTGTTTGAGCGCTCACGCATCAAAGCTCTCGCAGGTACGAGAATGGACGGATGAATGGGGATGGATCTAAGCACGGCCTTGTTGTGGATTGGCTCCCTGAGACCGAGTTAGAACTTTGAGAGGTTTAAAGTGTTGTTCCTGCAGTGGGTTCTCCAGGATCTCCAGAATGTTTTTCTTTTTCCATTTCTTCTTTTTGCTTTTCCCTCTTCAGGAGTCGTCACAGCGAGTCATCCTCCTCCATCTCTGTCCTCTGCATCCTCTGTCCTCACTCCATCTACCTCCATGTCCTCTCTAACTACATATATTTCCTCTTTGTCTTTTTCCTGGCAGCTGAATTTCCAACATCCTTCTACCAATACACCCACTGTCCCTCCTCTGGACATGTCCAAACCACTGTCCCTCCTCTGGACATGTCCAAACCATCTCAGTCTGGTCTCTAACTTCATCTCCCAGTTGTTCAACCTGTGCTGTACCTCTGATGATCTCATTCCTAATCTTATCCATCCTTGTCACTCCTAAGCAGAACCTCAACATCTTCATTTCTGCCACTTCCAGTTCTTTCTCCTGTCTTTTTGTCCATGTCTCTGTCTCCAGACCATACAACACAGCTGGTCTCACAATTGTCTTCTACCGTCATGTCAGGATTGTTGCTGTTAAATTTTACTTTTGCAACATTGAATTTTTTTTTTTTCTAGTGGCAATTTTGCAATTAATCTCATGTTAATGGGATGATGGTAAACAGAATTATTTATGCATGAGATCCGTTCTGGTCTCCGTTGTTTCGGTTCGGTATTAGTTCAGTGACTGTTTGTGGAAGTTCTTAAAGTTCTTCAATTAGCTGTAAGGGGTCAGCTCTTGATACAGAAAAACACAGATCTTCCAAACACCAAGTTGCTACATGAAAATAACAATCAGTAATAGGATAAACAAATAAAAAAAAAAACCTCTGTCAGACTATGGATTAATTCCCGAGTGTTTTAACTTGTGTTGTAGAGGTGTGAGCAAAGGGGCACTTTAAAATATGCTACACTATCACAAATAAACCAGGGAGCTGCAAAGATAATACAAAAAAATCAGAGATAATTGATAATTTATAAAGATTTCTAAAATGGCAAACCTAAAAAAAAATATATTTTTTCTTTGGCTGATCTATCGCTGGACAGTTTCCATTCTTCTTGTGTTCAGCGCCCCCACATGGACCCATGAGGTACAGATGCAGTTCTTTAAGAAACACTGACTTTAAGCTCTTATTTATAATTGATCATTGAATCGTTCATTAATCAATATCTGAAAATTTTCAACTTGGAGGTGGGATCTAGGCAGGGGGCTCGGTTCTGCTGATCGTGCGGAGCGCCTTCCTTGGGTAATGAGGGAAACTGTGCGCCTGTCTCATGTCGTCATATATCACCTCATTGTGTTATATATTCTCATGTAAGTGTATATCATCTCATCTGCCGGCGTTTTAAGTGTATAATACTTTTTATCTTGTATGATAGATTTCAATATAATATGTCAGCTCAATCCATTTTATCATCTTGCATCATAATACTATCTCATCTCTTTGTAATTTCACTTAATCAAATAATCTCATCTTGTTTTTTCTCATTTAATCTTAGATTGAGCAAAAATAGGAAACTTAAAACTTGAATTTCTGAAACAGTTTTGTTAGAAGACATTTTAAATTTAATTTAAAAAGTCATTTTCTGATTAAGGCTGCACGGTGGCGCAACAGGTAGAGCTGCTGCCTCTCAGCAAGCAGGTCCTTGGTTCAAACCCCGGTCCAGGGGCCTTTCTGGGTGGAGTTTGCATGTTCCCTTGGTGCATGCGGGGGTTTTCTCCAAGTACTCCGGTTTCCTCCCACAGACCAAAAACATGCATCGTAGTCTGATTGGTGACTCTAAATTGTTCCTAGGTGTGAGTGAGAGAGAGAATAGTTGTTTGTCTCTGTGTCCCTGTGATGGACTGGAGACCCGTCCAGGGTGTCCCCTGCCCCTCGCACAGTGATTGCTGGACATGGGCACCGGCGACCCCCGTGACCCAAAATGGAAGAAGCGGTTAAAAGATAATGGATGGATTTTCTGATTACCAAAAATTGGTGACTTAAAATATTTCATATATTCTGAAAATGAACTGTTTTAATCTTTAACATGAGAGCATTGTGACATTTTTTAACTGCATTGGGATGAAAATAATTTACACCAATTACCTAAGAAGCAATCTTTGCATTATTTAAATGATATTAAATGGCCATTTCACATTTAAAAAATCCTGTTAACCTAAAAACCACCACTCAGTTTCAGCATTAACCTTGAACAAAACCTTTCTTCATGAATAATGTGCTGCATGAGATCATCACCGTAACTAATGGGGTGAAAACATTTTCTCTTCAGCAGACTGTAGCTGCTGATCTGATCACGAGTTGCTGCAGAGTGTTGCTCACATGCCTCACAGATGTTTGTGTGCTACAGTCACTTCATCCCCGTGTCCTGCTGCTGCTTTTTGCTTTTTGTTTTTACGATGGCCGACTCCATCAGTTGAGCCCTGCTTCACTAAATAATTCACCGCAGTGTTAAATATGCACGAGGAGGCTCCTGGTGTGTTTGTGCTCTTAAAGTCTGAGGGCGGAGCCTGTGTTTCCTGCAGCCGACCAGGAAAAGGAACAATGTTGAGAAACTAAGTGAACACAAAATATATGATAAAAAAAAAAAGAGGCTGAATTAAGACGTTTTGCTGTTTTTACCGCGTTTTCTGCTGTAAATGTCGCTCCGCCCTATAAGTCGCATCAGTCCAAATATGTCTAATAAAGTGGAAAAATCCATAAATATGTCACTTCGCCGTATAAGTCACATCTATTATGCGTCACCGCTGACAACCCGGAAATGTGGGCCGGTGTTGTGCCAAAATCGATTAGCTGCCAAATGGTGGCCGCGGGAGCGTGCTCTGGAGGACTTTAACAAGAATTTAACAAGATTAACACTTAAAAACAATAATTTGTTGGCTTGACATTATTGTAAGGGTGTGTCTCAGTCTAACTTTTGCTTAATAAATGCACTTTGATGGTCAAATAATTTGCATTTCGTCAGGGCGGCGCAACGAAATGAAACTGGTTCGGTTGCTTCAGGCTGATGACGGTGGCAGGCTATGGTAATCAATCAACCTTTATTTATACAGGTAAATCCCATTGAGCCTCGAAGCCAACTGTGTCATTAATAGCCACTTTTACCTATTACGTGACATATTCTTGCTGTATCTCGGTACAGTGATAATAAGCTTATACCGATTTTGATGATACATCGGCATGCCCTACTACTCGAGTGCCATCTAGTGGCTGAAAATAGTAGCGTTCAATTTTTTTTCTATCAGAATGAATTAAAACGGTCATATCTCAGCCAAAAATTGGTTTATAAATACGGAAAAACATCCATAAATACGTTGCTTCAGCCTATAAGTCACAGGGCATGCAATTTATGCAACAACAAAAAAGTGACTTATACAGCGAAAAATATGGTAATTGTTGTAAAAGAGAAAAAATAATGGGTAAAGTTTTGAAGACGAAGAAACATGACTGACAATTTGATTATTGTTTCACCAACGTTTATTTTTACAGCGGTTGATGCGGACGAGTGCCAAACCAGATAAGACATAAACTGCTCGTTATAAACTGTGATTGGAACAGATCAGCTTTAGATCGATCTGTTTTCATATAACTGAAACTGAACATTTCCACCAACTGGTTTGAGATCTGGCATCAAATCTTAGTGTTCTGCGTTTTTTTGGTTTTGAGGTGAAATCTGATAAATGGTTGTTTTCTGGATAATGAGGTGCATTATGTTTTAATGACCAAAGATACTTGGTTCTGATTTAATTAGACACAGTGTTATTGTGACATTGAGACAGCTCCAGCACATCAGCACCTTTCTGCTGGTCATGCAGAACCAAAGACCACGTAACAGAGCTGCAAACGCATTATATAAATTAGCACTGCAGAACCCTGAAAGTTCTTGTTGACCATCTAGACCCAGTTGATGTTTCATAGCACCTGGTCTTGACGACCTTCTAAAAACTGGTTTGGTTTCCCTCACAGAGCTGAGTCATCGATTTAAACTGTGAGTTTTCTTTAAAACCCACATTTTTCTATCCACACAATCATTAATGACGCCCGTATTTTGGACATGGAGTCACTTTATTTCAAACCATGTCTAGAGGTGAGATATCAGATGACACATTTGTAACAAATTTCAGCCTGTTGGACTGAAACTGTTGACGACTAGTTGCAAACAGTCATTGAGAGGTATGATGTTTTGTCAGTGTCATCGTGGGCGTTTGGAACAGGTTAAACCCTTTTCATTCCACTTTTCTTTATACAGGTTAGTCTCATTGAGTCACGAGGACTCATTTACAAGAGACCTGAAACAATTGATGTAGACCTTTCAAATAGTTTCTGCAATGTATCACCAGTATGTTTGCACGGACCCACTGCTGCACTCTGACCAACCGAACGGGTTCAGGTTTTTAAATGAAGACCTAAAACCTGCACCTACCGTCTCCCTGGAAGGAGACTGTTGGAGACACAAGTTTGTGAGAAAATACTCACATTTTTATGTGGAACTGCACCAAAGGAAACATTTGTACAAAAATCCTTATAAAAACTTTGGTCTTTTTGTCCCCCTGTCTCAGAGTGGGGCTGCTGAGACCTGAACACTTCCTGCTGCCTGTGTGTGTGTGTGTGTGTGTGTGTCTCCATATGATATCCTGGGCAATACAAAACCTGTGGTTTCCATGGAAACAGCCAGATCTTCTTACAGTGTGGGTGGCTTTCTGAGCCCTGACAAAGCAGCAGATCCAAGACGTTTCAGTTGAGTGAGTTTATCTCGACATCTTTTTGTGTTGCCAAATAAGAATAGTGGGATTTTTCCACGTCCTTACGTCATGTTTGTTAAAAAGTGGTTATTTATTGATCTGAAATAGTTGGAGTTAAGGTGGAGGGAACAAACTACTTCTAGCCTCTTTATCAAAATATGACTTGTTTTGTTG